GCTGCCCTCAGGTCTTCAGCAAATGCTTCCAGTATCAACACTTCTATACAGATGAATCCTTGGGACAGATTATGTGTAATTCCCATTTCAAGGAGACCAGTAAAAAGGAATTAGAAAGGAAATATGCAAAAATCCTTGAAGCCACAAAGGGGACTTTTTTTTTTTTTTTTTTTTTACTGGCTTTAGGAAACTCTGAGTCTTCCTAAGAGAAAATTTGGACTTCAAGGATGCAACTTGTAATTAAAGACACTTACCAAAAGAAGGTATTACGTTTGGCTTCTTGGGAAACTCGAATCCTAACAACCTCCCAGAGAACTGAGCGTGGCTGTCCTTGTTTGGGATGCTTCAGCACACAGTGCCCTAGCGCAGATGTCAGGCTGAGCCCAGCTCAGTACTGAAGGCAGAAGGTAAGGTTTGTCAGCTCCTCCCGAGAGAGCCTTGCCTCTCAGGAGCACAAAGCCTCTGAAAACCCTTCCCTTGATTCTCTCCCCACCTATACATTAAGCTTCTAATTTTTATCTGAAAGAGGCTAAAGGAAAATATAATCGCCCTCCTTCCAAAAACACAGGAGCTTTTGGATGCAGGTAGAAAGGAGGCCAATGAGGGTTGAGAAGAGGAGCTGATTAATGCACACATTAGCTGATGGATCCCAGCTGGAGCCAGATGTACTGACTGAAACTAAATGAATTTAGAGTCACAGGGTCATAGAATTTACTGGATTCCTCCTTTTTATACTTTATATTGTATTCCCTTAAAAATTCACAGGGGGGAAAAAAAAAAGGGGGAAAAAAAAAACAAACCCTGACTTTCACTACTGCTGTCACAATGGAAGCAAGAAGTGTAGCCAATGAGGGGCACTTTTCCTCTCTAGCAGGTAAAGCAGGTGTGAAGATTTGCATGTCTCCTTTTGAGGACTGCTATTGCTGCTTCTCATGCATTGACAGAAACTGACACTTTAAAACAGAAAACAGGGAGTGAAACAGAAATCCATGGATCTGTTGTCTTGCCTAAGCCTGACAACAAGCTGTGAGATAACCCACAGTAGCTATGTCACTAGAGGTACAGAAGACACAGCACAGGTGAACCACATCAACAAGTAAGACTGAACATTAATCTCCCTGGTGTTTCTGCAGTGGTGACAACTATTTCTAGCTACTTACTGACAACATTGCCACCCAAACCTCTGGAAGATGAGTGAAGTCCTGGAGCAAGGGTTTCCATCAAGACCTCATTCATGACCTGAATGCAAGGCCGAATTTGCCACAGGAAAAACTACTAATAAAGACAATTTGCAGCTAATTTGTGTCTTGCTGAGAGGGTATGTCAGGAGATGTGCCTCCAGCTGGAGCACAGGGAACGAGCTGTTCCTCAGCTGTGAAGCTTTTCCACTGTTCAATGCTGCTGCTTTCCACGTATTTGATGTGATTCCAGGGAACCCTCCAGAGCTCCCAACTTCCCAGCCCAGCTCCTCAGGTCACGTACAGCAGAGCAGGGTGCATGTGCTCTTGGCACAACATGTAACACCTCCTCTTCCGTTACAATACTCCAGTTTTTGCTCTAGCATAAAACATCAGAGGGCCTCATCTCATTTGTAGCTATAGTCTGATGATCAAGAAATGTATAGCTCTATAATGAAGATTCCTCTCAGCCAAAGACAACACTGCAATAAAACTCTATCATCAGTGAACCTGCTATGACTGACAAGGAAATGACATTTCCACCAAGTGTCGTAAAAATTCAAACAGGAGATTTATGCACACAAGAAATATAATACCATTAGATACGTCAGTGTTAAAAAAAATAAAAATAAAATAAAAAACTCTTCTGTGACCTGGTTCCAAGGTCCTCCTGCAAAGCAAACCTAATGGGTCGCATTATTAATGTGTTACTGAGACAAAACAAGCAAAGCAAGTCAGCAATAGAGAGGTACAGAAGGACGGCAGTATTGCCACTATTCCCTTGATTCTTTTTTGACAATACCTTAAACAAGCCCAAGAAATCAGGGTCACAAGAAAGTTAAAAGATTTTTGCTGGGGATTTGACATATTCTGTTACCTGTTTAACTGAATGCCCACGTCCTTCATTTGAGCATTAATTTGAACCCAACTTGCAACATCAAACGAAGTAATTTTGATCACCTGCTAGTGATAAGTAGCACCTTGTGTTTAAACCACTTCTCCTTAAGACTGCCAGTGGAACATAAATGCTTATGTCCAGCCCAAACAGGCTTGAAATTTTCCAGCTCTAGCGTGTGATAAACAACATTAACACTGGGGAGGTGAAAGTGCAGGCATGCACTCACTCACTTTCTTTGACATACAGCTTAGGGTCCTGACATGGTTGGCCTTACCTCCCTGAGTGTCTCGGTGTGCAGCAGCACAATTAGCGTAACTGCATTAAAAACGTGCCATTTCTCCAGCCCTGGTCCAAGGCCTAAGGAAGTCACAATGTAAATAGGTTGTGCCTATCCTAAAAACGCGGCAGTGATCGTGTCAGGCTCAACACTCTGCATTCAGGAAGATTTTAAAGGTTTAGCAGTTGAACAGTGTGTTAGGTCAGGCAAACACGAACATCCTTCAAAGCAGCCTGCTCATCCTTGCACTCTTCCCCACCTCATGAAGGCAGATTTGATGTCCTTTCTGTAGGATACATAAAACTAAAAGGCACTTCTGTGATCAAGATATAGCATAGTCCACACACATAGAGGCAAAAGGACAAGCACAATGAGAAGGATGAAAGGTAGAAAGGGTCTAGAAAAGGGAAATGGGGAAGGAAGGATTTGTGGAAGTCACTGGAAACCCTGTGGGGAAATCAGCCTCCCACGTTCCTTCTGGAGAATCCAGATAATTGAAGGCTGTGGGAATGCTTTACAGAAAACCCCAGACCAGGGGTGATTAAGTTCTCCAGACCTCTCATCAGCAACACATGGATCCCATCAAGAGACCGCTGCTTTGGCCGGCAGTGAGCAGAAGTCTCCTCAGGGGGAGGACTGGGGCTTGCCTGCATCTGATAGCAGGAGACAGCAGGGAGCAGTTTTATTTTTACAAAGCCTCTGCCATGTTTCATCTCTGCGAGCAAATATCAAGCTCACCTCTGGTCTGGGGTTTTGCTGTTGAAACCCTTGATAAGAGATATGAGCAGCACCAGGTCTGTGTTTGCTGCTCTGCTGCACCGGCAGTGAGAGCAGGGATGAGCAACAGAGGTTGTGGAGCACACCACAGAGGAATACAACCAAAAATGCCAGTCATGGTTAGAGCTTGGGTTTGCTACGTCTGAGCTGCTGAGGTCAGTGAGCAGCACCGGCCCCTGCTGCAGTAGCATCACCCCAAATTAAGAGTCTTGCTCTCGGGGAGAACTTGTTTCCAGAGCCAGCAGCTGCTTTCACACAGCCTGAAGCCCACGTTCCATGGGAACACATATTTCAGAGCCATCGTTTGAACACAGAATCACTATAAATTCCTCCAACATCATCACAGCTTTAATTTATAGCTGCTATGCTCTATGCTTCCTTCCAGACAGTTTGGCTGGACAGGGTAACAACGTGTGCACACGCTCTGTAAAACAACAACCCTCACCCTAGAAAACACAGGAACTAAGAGGGCTACAAGTCTGAACACAGACACATGGCAATATCCATACCTCATCCCCCCAGAGCAGGGTAGAGAGCTTATGGTGATTTTAAATGGCTCCCATCTTCTCTTCAAGCGTTATCATAACACAGGCCTGAAAGCCAAGAGCTATAGACAGGAGTTCATCAACAGGTCCGGGCAGTAATAACACATTTGTTCTTCCCACAGTGGCTCTAATCACAACCAGGGCTCTTCTGGACAGAGGAGCTGAATGCTTTGATTATAGAGGGATTGGCTCTGGCAAAGATTAGGCTCTTTGGCTGGAAAAATCAATGTTCTGTATTCAAAAGATTTCTCCAGAAATCACATATTTCTACAGAATACCTAGAACTGAGCCAAACATTTGAAAGGAAACATTTCAGACATGGAGAGGTTATCCATAACCTGCTGAAGAGTGGGAGCTGCCAGTCTAGTGCTGCAGTCTTTGCACCCTTTCTACCTTGCCAGGGCTGGGAAGGGAGTCCCACCCTTCAAACAGCTATGTATGGCATCTCAGCCCAGGTTTCACTTACTTCATTTCCACAAAAGTCCGTGGAGCGTGAGCAAAAAGCACGGGGATTTCAGTGCCTAGCTGAAGTCTCGCTTAAGCGAAAGATCAGTGATTTTTCCAACCCAGTGCTCTGGGTTAGGAAAAGATAGATATTATTTTGCTCAGTTGTTCTCAGCCCACTGCTACATGAGCAACCACAGCCTCTCTTCCCAGAGGCCAGCAGGGAGCACGTAGGCTTTCCTCCCGTTCCCCATTCGGCTGCTGGTGTGCTCAGCCTTGGAGGTCACCAGCTCTGCCTGCAGGGCTGGGCACAGCACCTGGCTGCTCCTGGTGGCCAGCGGGGACCAGCAGGGCAAACGGCTGCGGCTTTCTCCTTCACAGCATCTCGGAGCCCCAGGCAGGGAAAATACTGATAACAGCAATGACATCCGTGCTCCTGTCACCAGGTGGGCACAGCACCCACTTCTGGCCAAAATGATCCCTAATCAGTCCCTTGGGCCTCCTGGGGGGTGCGCTCCCATAAAGAGATGCTTGAAACATGCCCTATGAGCACACAGATCTGGTTTCTTCTAATGTAAATCTATGGCCTCCCTCTTTGGAGGCTTTCCATTTGTGTGGAGACTGGAGGCAAAGGGAAATAAAAATCCCCTGCCTTAAATGGAAACATTTGCAAGGAACGGGGTAAGATCAGCTGCCAAGTTACTTACTGCAGTATGACTAAGCAGCAAAATCAGTGCAAGATACTGGACTTTCTGTAAGCTGCTGATCTTTCACACAGACAAGAAACATGCAGCTTGCCCCTGCTCCTCTCTCCACCCCCGGACAAAGCATGGTGATAGGCATAGCTCTGGCAGAGACCATTCAGGTTCGGAAAGAAAATGAACAAAAATATTCAGATAAGAAAATTATTTTTTAATTCGGCAAAGAGTTCCTTGCAACACTGTACTAAAATCACTTGCTTACTAAATTTCTTCTAACACAGCAGTGAAAACTATCAGGCCTTTATTCACTGAAACAATTTTTTACATATAGGACTTATATTTCAAATGTTTTACCACAATAAAGGCTTTTTTGACTCTTCCAGTGCAAATTTTCTGGAAAAGATGTCCAAAGTAATACATCTATTTTTACTAATGCGACACATATGTCCTTTCCTGTGGATAACAAGCAATCACTAGTTAAAGAGCAATAAAAAACTGTGTTTGTGGGTCAACTTCAGCTGTGAGCACTTCAGTTCCAGCTTCACAACTGCACAGTGAACATGTGCTTCAAATCGGGCTCTCAAAATCAATTGAGTGTAAAAAACTGATCAACGTAGGCTTGATTGAGCTATCTGAGCTCACAGAAATATATGATAACAGTTTACCAGGGCTGAATGGTAGCATCTGCTCTTACGATCACAAGTATCCATGCCCGTCTGAAACAGGCACCACGATGTCCTTAGTAGCCAAGTGCAGTGAAATGGGGATTGTATGGGCCAGTTTGTCACCTTCTGGCATGTCTGACAGGGCTCCAGATGATTTTACTCCAGACATGCTTATTGTCCCTTTTACGGAAAGATCCAGACTGATTAGATTAGATGGAGACTTCAACAAAGATTGCTCAAGCTACAGGAAATAAATAATCTCCAAATGACTTATATAGACAAAGGCACCTATCCTGGCAGTGACGCACAGCATTCAGCTGGTATAGGTGACCCAGCAGAGTGCTCCTTTGCTCCTGTACAATGAAGGAAGAACAGACAACATTAAGCCAGAAGTGTGTCTGAACAGAAGTTTGGCTTCATGACACATCACTGTCTTTGGCTTGTGTCCCCCATGCACCCAGGCTGTTTTCCCCAGGGAAAACAGGGGGAGGCATTCAGTGCCTAATTCTCCTACAGCCTTAAGTCATGGTCTTGGGCAAACTCGTAATGTCTGTGTTTTGCAATTCCTCACCAGCAAGATAGCTCCTATAAAGTGTTTATCTCTCTTTTCTTTACCTAATAAAGTCATCAGACATCACAGTCAACAAATATTATACAAACACATTAATTTACTAAGTTGTTTTTTGTATCTTCCGGCATTACCTGGAGACCAGGCACAAGACAACCAGAAACTGCTCTGATTTCAAAACAGAAGAGTTTGAATTGTGCAACACCTCCTGGGCAACAAGCACCCCAATAATTCTGAGGATCCTGACACGGTCATTGCTGTCCTTACTGTGCAGGCCAGGCCCTTCTGTATTATAGTTTCTCGTGGCACATTGTCTCCTCGTGTGAATTCCCCTCCCTACACTAAAGGGGGTGCAGAAAGGCTGCCTAGCCAGCACACTTTTTGCCTTCAGTGCTTGAGTGGTCCCTGTTTGCCAGCCAGATGGCGTCTGCCGGGTGACACAGCTCCAGCCAGAGATGTGGCAATGCCGTAACTGACTCACTGCTTGCTTGTGCAGCGCTTACCATCACAGTGCTCTTTTTGTCTGTCTTGCCGTGTGCATGAGGGGCTTCCCAGACCCTACCTGCATAAAGTTTTGGGCCCTAGGGAACCCAAATGTGCAGGAAATCCCAAATCCCTTGAGATTATGCAAAAGGAGTGGCTCCATTTGGGTTGGAAAGCACCGCATCCCCAGGGCCTGCCTGCTTGCAGATGAGCTGGACAAACTGCCAGCTTGCACAGCAAGGGGACAGCGTGGGCAGAATCGTGAGACACCAACTGAAACTGGAAACCCCTGGGAGACCCAGAGACTCTAGGCCAGGTTGCAGGGCTCTCACAAGCTCAGAGCACACTTGGCCTCAGAGCAGTGTTGCTATCGCTGCGTGCAGCTCTCCTCCTGCACTGAGGAGCTGCAGGAAGGGGTCTGTGAGACCCAGGGGTGTTGCACAGGGAAATTACACCAGCTGAGCCTGCTCCCACCTTGCTCCACACGGTCATCTGCCTCCTTGCTGCCACAGCCAGTAAAACCAACACCAATTTCCTGTGCAAACCACCCTGGTGTTAAATCTCAGCTGAGTGGCTCTAGGGAGGAGCTGGCTGCTTCATTACGGGAAGTAACATTCAGCGCTGCATTAACAGGGCAGGGGGAAGGAAAAGGGGCCTTGGACATGTGCTATGCGTTGGGTACAAAGTGTTCGGTCAAGCCCATGGGGGCTTTGCCAGCTGTGCACCATGAATGACACATCCAGCAGGACTCAGGGGCAGTGCTGGGCTGGCTCAGCACGCTGCTACGGCGGGTTTCGGCTCAGCAACCCGCCACATGCTCGTGTTCCTCCTCCCCCCCCCTGACCCCTTTTGACACACTTTTCAAAGGAGCTGCGGGGATCCAGATGGGAGGCGTCCAGCCGCCCGCGGCTACGTGCGTGCCCAGCGCTTCCACGCCGGCCAGAAAAGCTGACGGCCTGATCTTTATCCAGGACTGGCTTGCCCTAGAAAATCAGAAAAGCAACACGCTGTTTTTACAAGCTGCCTTTGAAAAATCTCATGTACTTCAGGTCCCGTGGAAAACACCGTATGTAGCTGTGTTTCGCTCTCACATTAGGCAAGACATAATATTATATGCAGGGATAACTTTATTGCCAGAGGTGCTATCAGAAACCCAGAATCCTCAGGAGCACTCTGGGCTTAATTTCCCATTTATGCAGAAATACACGTGACTCAAAGCAGCAAATGCTTTGAGGCTGCTGAGGGCCTGGATTCTTTAGGGTAAGAGAGGGATTTGTGGGGATTTCAGGAGCTATTGACAAGCACTTTGAGCTAATATCCATGAGTATGAAGGTCTGAACCGCTGCCTAGAACAGAGCCAGGAGAGAAACCCCAGCCAGGACCTGACAGAGATGCCTTTCCTCCAGGCTTATGGAGCAGTGAGGAGCTGGGTTCTAGGTGCTAACCTGGCACACTTATTCCTGCACTGTTTGCTTTATCCTATGCCATGAAAAATGGTCTCAGTCTGACTGCAAGAGATGCGTTTGTACTGTTGCAGAAAGCCCTTCGTGGTTTACAGCAGTGCATGGGGTTTGAGGCACCAGGAGGAGTCAATCCCCCTGCCCTGCCACAGGAAAAGCTTGTTTCCAAAAAGCAGGGCAGCAGGGAAGGTGCTGAGATCACCCAGGGAGGGAGCTTGGGCAGGACGGGGGCTTTGCCTGTCCCAGGTGTGTGCCTGCTTTGGGGCTCCCTGCTCGCTGTATTTCATTTCACAGCTGCGCCTTGCCGTGCATGTCTGCGGGTGCATTCCTGTGCATGCAGCTGCGTGGTCTGGCAGCTCCAGCTCTCTTCGGCTCCTTTCCGTGGAAGGATGCAATTTATTTGCTCTTGTCAAGCACCTCCTGGCCTTGCCTCTGCAACTGCGAGCAGTATTAGGCATGTATTTTCTGGGATGCCAGCTCAGATTTCAACCTTCAGCTTAGAAAATGACTTGTTGCTGGCTGTGAATAGCGTGCTATTGAAGATGGCTAACTGAGCAGAGCCTATTGATCCACATGTAAAACAGAGGCTGCCTTCCACAGCTTGCTTGGGCCAGTTAATTGCTTCAAAGCTGCCTGTATACAGACAGCTTGTGCCTTAATGCCTTTCCAGTCTCTAGGACAACCGTGCAAAACAGTCTCGAGGATCTCACTTTTCCTTGCCAGAAGCCGAGTTTTGGTTATTAAGTCATTACACAGGGGCTTGGAAAAGCTTTGTCCTGTCCCTGCAAGACCATGGAGGCAGCCAGGGACATGGGGGAACCAACTGACAGACAACCATGGGCTCACCTTTTTGGGTAGAGGTCTCAAAATTAGACAAGAGACGTTTAGGTTGGACACTAGGACGTGTTTGCCGAACCTGACAGGGGAACAAATATGCGGTTTGTGTGGCAAAACATACCTTTAAGTGAGAAAATGAGCTAAATGACCTCTTGAAGTCTCTTCATGGTTTATTTCTAGGTGCTTCTGTGACTAAAGAAATCTAAGTTTGGTGAGGCACTAGCTGCTATTTGGCTTGCAGACTGTGAAAAACAGAATAAAGAAAAAAGGTCTTAAGCTCATGCCTATACGAGGACTGCTAAAATGTGTGCTTTATGAAGCCAGTTCAGATGATGGTGTCGGGAACATGGCTTCCCAAGGTGTTATTTATTTGTTTATTTATTTTCCCGACGGAAAACTTACTCTGGTTTCTTGCAATTGCTGGGAGGCATTGTGTGTCCCCGATGTGTCTGGAGAGCTGAAGGACTTTCATTTTCTGCTTGTTCCATTCAAACAGTCATCGCAGCCAGTCCAACCTCTTCTCACAGGAGCTAACATTTGTGTTGTTCAAACTCTGGACAGGTCTGTTGTTGGGGGATGTGAAAACACCTGCCAGGAGGTGCCTCCTAGTAACGAAAGGATTTGATGTAAAATGCATCAGTATCTTTGTACTTTTTTTTTTTTTTTTGACCATTTTATTGTACAGGACCAGGTTAGGACTTTGACTCTTTGTGCCAGCCCAAGACAAAAAATACTCATCAACACATTGGAATTTCCCGTGGGTTGGAAATTCTGATTTTTTTTTCTCCTTCAGCTCTTCTTGGCATCACCTCACCAACCTGACTGTCACTGTGCAGCATCCCAGCAGCAAGACAGACAGAAAACACGCTGTGCAACTTGGCTGAGCAGGAAGGAATCTCTGCGGCTGGTGTCTGACATAAGGAGACGGCCTCATGTCATGTTTCAGAGAGATGGAGAAATTAGCGGGCTTACAGGTGTCGTGATTTTCAGGATATCCGGAAAAGAGATCAGTGGGGTGCACAGAGGTGACCAAGAAGTTGTGCTCCATGAGGGCAGAGGAGCTGTAAAACAGTACAGCAGCCAGGCACCATTTCTGCTGTAGCAAACAGAGGCTCAGCTTCGTTGCCATTTTGACACTAATCCAAAGGAGTGTCCAAAGCAGATTTCTTGGCTCCAGGACGCAGTCAGAGGGCAGCACAGTCTGTGCCTGTGTTACAGGCGAAGAAGGACTGTAACACGAAACATCTTATTTCAAGAAATAATTAATCTCCATTTTTTTTACCCGAAACACTAACTCATCTTATTTCAATAAATAATTAATCTCCTTTTTTTTTTTTTTTTTTTTTTTTTTTTCCCCAGAAAAAAAAAGTACTATAACCAAAAATTGCCCTTGGCCAGAAAGGAATCAGAAATCTCTCCAGAAGCATAGCAGGGATAGGATGTGTCTGCATTGCCTCCAGCTTCTGTTTTATCATTCTTTTTCCCTTTTAATATATTACTATCAAGAAGAGATTCCCCAGCTGTGTTTTGTGCTTGGTTCAGCAGCTTGCATGTTAAACACCAGCATTTCCAGTGGGATGAACGACAAAGACAAGCAGTGTTTCCTGCGGGTGCCTGCAGCAATGGGTGGGATGGGGACTGATGCTTTGCTGAGACAGGCTAATGGAGTGGCCGCAGCCATGTGTCATGGGATAAGTGGTGTCGAGCATTTTGTTCCCTGCTGGAAAGGCTGTGTGGCTGTCTCACCATGCTTCATGGGAGGTTTTAAGGCCCTCAGGTCTCCAGGACTTCTCTCAGCTGCTCCTGTGTGCCTGCAACGCCCTGAGTCCACAGCACCTCTCAGCAGAGTGGAGCACTTCGAGTGGGTTTGCCTTATGGCAGGGTTAGCAGGTAGCTGAAAATGAGCACTTGCATACCAAGCAGCATGCAATTACTAAGCAGAATGAGAAGTTTGCTAACAGCAGCTCTAGCTTCTGCGGAATGAGCTGTTTTAATAGCTCCTTTGGCCAAGCTTCTGTTTGTGAACTGATTTTCCTCACCCACAAAGATCCACAAGTGTGAGAAACTAAATGAAGCAGAAAGATAAAAAAAAAAAAAAAATAGCAAAAATTACTTATCTCAGAGGTATATCTACAGTCCTCTGGAGTCATCTCTTTGCTTCTTGGAGAGGCAGAGAGGCAACTGCTGGGCCGGCTGGCTGTGGCTTCCCTCCTGCCATATGCCCTCCGGAGCCTTTCATTGTCACGAGTCCCAAGAGCTCTTCTCCAGCTTGCTGTGGGTGATACAAGTATTAGGCTGATGCGACATATTATTTCTGCAAAAAAGCAGGGAAAGCATACACTGTGCAGCCAGCCTGATCTCCTGACAAACAGTGAGGATGCAATTTGAGGAGAAAGACCCTGGCAGAGCATGCTTATTGCTTGCTTCTTGCCTGTGAGCTTGGCTACAGGCGAGTGAGGAAGACACTTGAAGAGCCAACCCAAGATTCATTGTTTACCTAACTAACATCTTCTCAGCCTAACCAGAACACTACAAGCATCTAATTTAGTCCAGTTACAGATACTTATAATCCAAATGACTTAATTCTCAATGGGAATTAGCAGTAGCTGAAGCTGCAATGGGCAAGTCTCCCAGAGCCACGCCACGTGATGTTCCTGCATCCCGTGCATTGCTAGGGGAGGCCATCAGCTTCTCGAGTCCTTTACCTGGAGCAGGATGGTGATGATACCATGTGCTGGGGCACATCTTCCTCTGTGGTCTTGAGTCCACTCAGAATCTCTTTTGTGTGTCAGTCCTGTATTTCTTAATGGGTTTCAGCCTTTCCTCTGCTCTTTGCCTACAAGCTTACATGGTGGAGGGCCATGCAATTGGACAAACACAAAACAAAACTCAAACTAAAACACATTTGAGAATAACATAGTTAAAACAAGTCCTGAAACACAGGATAAGCAAGAGGCATTTGAACATTCAGTTATTTTGCTAGAGGCTAGACCATGGTCCTCTGCTCCCTAGATTAATTGTAGGCACTGAAATAGCTATTAAATAATTTTGAATAAGCAGTTCAAAATCATCCTAGAGCAGATATTTATTGTCATACAGCTTGAGGTCTTGCACTAGCGTCATTAACAGCAATTTGGCTGAGCTACAGGACTGCAGGCTGGGGGAAGAGTTGCCCTGATGCACTTGTGAAGTGGTCTCAAACCACCAGCAGCAAGGAAAGAGCAGACAAGCCCACGGAGAAGAGGAATCCTTTGCAAGGACTGTTCTCAGGAGTGATAAAACTCTTCTGCAGCTGGCTGCACTAACCTCAAGGACTGTTTGCAATCTCCCCCCCCTCAACTTTCTGCTTTGTCCTTTAGGATTGCAGCCCTGTGCTGTCCCAGCCTGCTGTGCTGCTGGGATTTTTTCACGTGTATTTTTTAGGGTATGTGTTTCAGGAGTCCCATCAGACTGATACAGCAGCCTCGGAGATGCCCTCCTCCTCAAGCCATCACCTTCCCACAAAGGGCTGTGAATCAGCATTGCCTCAAATGAGGAGTGTTTAGTCAGAGGAAAACACAAATATGGCCCAAATTCTGTCGTTGTTACATAAACCCCCTTGCTGAACATCTGGAGAACATCTGAAGTTTAACAAAGCAGGCCTGCAGGCAGAGGCATTTTTGGCCTTCCCCGTAATGGAAGCATAAAAAATGAGAATGAAAGAATGGGAGTAAATATAACCAGAAATGGAAGACAAAATGGGCCCAGCACACAGGGGCCAACTCTGGCTCAAACACTTGACAAGGGCTCCTGCGATCCTGCCTGGACAGCACACAAGCGTGGGGAGAGAGAAGGCAACAGCTGTAAATGCCACACATTGGGTGCTGCTGGAAAATCCTTGCTGGTCCCTGTTTTCTGGGGAAGCCAGCTTCCCGGCAGGCCCTGTTTAAAATGGAGCTTTTTCTGGGAAAATGGCAGCTTAAAGGAAATGCTCAGTTTTTCTCATGGGAAAACTGACAAACACTTCAAAACTGAGACTTGGAAACCGAAAGTGTTTGCTGGCTTGGGATGTTCTTCCACGTTTCATAAAAGTGAAGAAGCAAGGGCATGGTTAAGGGTGGAAAGAAGCTCACGGGAGCAGGAAAAAATCCTTCCTGGCACCCTTTATTTTTTCAGCTTAAAGCAGAGACAAAGTGCTGCAACCAGCCCAAGAGAAGAGCGACTTTTCCCCAGCTTTTCCTAGGTGTCTCTTACATTCCTCCATTTCGTGTAGCCTGGGGGACAGGGTGGCACAAAGCCTCTCTGAGCCCCTGGAGAGAGGCTGAGCATCCCTCAGGATGAGGGGCAGCCTCGTCCCCTTCCCCACCACCTGCTGCCGTGGCTGTGGCTGAGCATGTGGTTCCTAATAGTGCAGGGAGGGAGGCCGAGGGGGGGTTCAGGCCTTTCCCAGCCCCCAGCTCTGCTCCTTGCTGTCACTGGTGCTGGCTCTGACCACCCCCCAGCCAGCTCCACAGGCAGGGCTGGGTAGGTGATGCAGTCTCTGTACCCTGCTCCCCTCCTTCACCAGTGAATCACGCAGAGGATGGCAGCAGGCCTCAAGGAATACTTCTGCTACAATAGCAGCCTTTATTAGTGCAGACGTGAAGGCTTTTTTCCTAGCGTGCTGGGGAGAGGAGGCAGGACATCTGACACAAATGCCTCCAGAGAGAGGGCACCACGCGAAGCGCAGCCACGCTCAGAGCCTCCCTGGAGGTGCTCCTCAGAGTTTCCAGCTGCAACCAAGGTGTGCCCAGTGCTGCCAGGGACCCTGCACACGTCAGCTGAGGTGCTTGGCCAAAAGAGGGCATGGGTGAGAGGAGAAAGTGAGACAAGGGAGGGAGCAAGGCAGAGCTTCTCTGCTGCAGAAACACGATGGGAATGCAGCCTAGTGACTAGGGAGCAAGTGGCTTTGGGTGCATGCAGCTGTCCCCAAGACAGGCACATTTTAGAGCTGCTTTTGGCTGTAAAACAAATGTCTAGGGAGCACCAAGGCTGGTAAAACTGGATGAGATGTTCAATACCTTCACCACAAGCCCCGTCTGTTGAGCAGAGTCCCCACCTGTCCCGAAAATGAGGCACTAAGGATAGACCCCAAACATAAGGAGAAAGCAAACACAGATTACTTCTTCACCTGATGGTCTCCGTCTCTGCACCAGCAAGGAATGGTCTGCTAGAAAATGGGTCCAAATTGTGCAGTTTAGGAACAGGCTGTGAGATGTCACAGAACACATTGCAACCAGAAAAAAAAAATTAGCACTTCCCTTCTTTTCAGAGCTCAGTACTTTTCTATGCCATTTTCAAATGTACTAACTCAGATTAAAATAATCCACAGGATCTCCCAAATCCATAGCATTCAATAATACCCAGTTTTGTGAAGTAAAAAGCAATACATCTTTTCTCTTTTGTCCTGTATAACTTCATGTGAGAAGTTCTGCTGAAGTCCTCCCAGATCGCAGCAGCCCCTATTTCACTGAGTGGCTTTAAAACCATTCAAGAGCTTCTGAAATTGAAGACAGACGAGCTTCCAACAAGACTGTGGAAAACAATTTATTTGACAAATTTCTGAAGTGGACAATTTTAGTAAAACACAGGCATAAAATAAAGGTAACTTGTACAATGGATTTCCGGATACAAAATAAAGAGTTTGGGATGTCAGTACCTGGCAATCACTGTTGCTTTCTCAGAAGCGCATGAATTCATAGCAAGAGCACCAACAGAAGCACTGAACAAAAATCTCACCCAGCCAAACCACATCTTCAGTGCGGTCGTGGAAACAACTGTGTAAACACCAAGGGCCCACATCACCCATGTAGTGATAGCACCTTTGTCAGTATATCTGTAGGGTGTGATTCAAAGCCCCTGGCAGATAATGGCAGCCTTTCCCTTGACTCAGCTGGGCTGTGGAATAGGCCCTAATTCAATATATAGTGCAGCTAGTGGGTTCCCCTAGGGCCCAGGTGTCTAACTCCTAGATGGTCCTACAGAAACAGCACACCCACAGGGAGCTCGCTGGGAATTAGACAGCTTGGCACTTTTGAAAAATAAAAATAAAAATCCCACTAACTGGGCTCAGAGAGATTTTCCAGCATGGAGTTTGGACCATAAGGCAAGTCATCAGGTTACTTATGAGGTTCCTGGTTTCACTGTAGGACCATGAAACTGGTTAGTGAAGGAGCGTGGGTCTGTAGCTTCTCCGTGGGTCCCCCCTCCCCAGTGGCTGCTGAGCACCTTTCTCTCAGCCGGTGCCCAGGCCCCTGCTCTGGATAGGACTGTCAGGGCTGAGGTGGGCTCCACCACTCCTCTCCAGCCCATCCCTGGGGGTCTGTGTCCCATCCCGTGGCACAGGAGGTGCTTGGAGATGCTTCCAACACCGCCTAGTGCACGGGTGGCTCAGGTAACGAAGTCCAGCCCTTCCCACCCACAGGGGAGATGTGAATCATGCTGGCCAGCTGGGACAACGATCCCCTCTCAAAGCCTGCTGAAGCACGGCCTTGGGTTAGGACCATTGTGAGCTGGGCAAGCGCTCAGCTTACATATGGATGAAAGAGGCAAATGAAGAAAAAAAAACTGTATCTAAAAAGGGCATAATCAACCTTGCAAGACCAAGCAAGTCCTTAGTGGTGCAACACTCCTCATCCTGGTTCTTTCCTGGCAAAAAAAAAAAACAGTGGGATGAGGTTGCTTTCAGTGGGGCTTATTGCTAGGTGTACTGGTGTTTGCCGGCTGCAGGGAGCAAGGCACGGGCAGTCACAGGGCAGGGAGGCAGCTTGAGGCTAAGAGGAAGAAGTGCAGATGAAGAAGCAGGTGGAGAAGAATGGGACTGCACAGACAGGCTGCGGCACAACAGCTATCTGTATAGACACGAGTTCCTCAGGTGGGTCAAGAATACTGTTAATCTTTTGGCTTTTGTTGTTTTTCATGTTTAGGTGAGAGAGAAGCAGGCACGGCCCTGGTAGAAACCCGTGCGGCTGCTCAGTTAACAGCGATCTTCCTGGAGACAGTTTGGTAGAAGACGCCGCGCAGCAGGGAGGTGTAGTCGGGCACGCGGAACAGGTGGCGCTCCCCGTAGGCAATGTCGTAGTCTGCGCTCTTCCCTGTGACCAGGACACGGACATTGGGCTCGTTGACTTGGCTGCCCACGGCCAGCACGTAGATCTCGATACCGGCCTGCTGAACCCCCTGCACAGTCCTCTCGATGGCCCTGGCGGTGATCCCCTGCGAGTTGCCATCAGAAAACACCAGCACCTTCTTCTTCGCCCCGGGACGGGAGGAGCGCTGGTACACGCTCATGATGTACTCCAGAGCGGCGTTGACATCTGTGGCATCATTCATGAACTCCATGTTGTCGATGGCTTTGGCGATGACCGTGTAGTTACGCTGAAACGGGACTTCGACCTTCTGCTGGTTTTTCCCGCTGTACTGGACCACCGCCACACGCACGGAGTCTTCGGAGGGCTTGCTGGCCTCCAGGAAGCGCTCCGCCAGCCGCTTCACAAAACTCTTG